AGGGAGAGGCTGAAGGTCTGAACTAGCGTGTTCTCAAAAAGTAAAAAAAAATAATTGTGTCCAGTGGTGTCATTAAATAGAAATATCAATTCAGTTGAAATATTCAGAAAAAATAAAATAAAGGATGACTTCCTAGTAGTCTTTCTCTGTACAGAAAGATCTCTAAATAAATAAACTCAGGTAATAAATAAAATGTCTGTTTTTCTTCTTTGCTTGTTTAAAAAGTGAGAGGTATTAACCTCTTCATGAAGTTACCTTGACTTCTTGTGGATTTTATATCCTTTGGGTTCTCTGAGTCAAGAGCTGTTACTTTTCTAATTACAAACTATGGGCCTGCTGCAGTGAAATGATCTCCTCTGTGTTAGGCAGGAAGTCAAACAGAATTGTCATAATGTCAAATAAAATGTCATACCCTGCTTGAAAATCTATCGATCTGTAACTTTTTCCATTCTTTTCATCCTCGTTACTTTGAAGGTAAAAAAAGTAAAAGTTAAGTAATTCCTTAAAGTGTGGGTTCTCAGTTTGTTGAACCCTTTGTTTATGTAACACACTGCTATTTTAGGAAGAAGCTGGGAATTTTTTTAGCAAAAAATACAGCATAATAAAAATTCCAAGGCTTGTTTGGAGAAACAGATGCTCAAAAGACCGACTACTTTTTCATGTAATACTTTCATATTCACTAGGGCCTAGGCTTTAGCTAGCACAGATTGTTTGAGCTCCAAAATCAGTAAGCTCTAAAATGTGCATCAGCTGAAGTTCTGCCACCTATTTATGTACATTATATTTAGACATTTACTGGATTTAGGACCTTTATTTCAGTGGATAAAGAGAGGCAAGTCCTTTTTTTGTTGGAGAAGTGGGGCGGTAGGGAATAGTTTTGACGTTGCTTGAATTTTATACTTGAAATCACCCAGGGCTGGACTAGCTGGAGGTGAAGCCCGCATGCCATGGAGCAGCGCCGTCACTGCCGGGTGTTCACAGGTGAGGTGCTCTCAAGCCAGCCCTTTGAAGTTGTTCCACTTTGCCAGAAATAATTAAATGCTTACTGGATACAGCAAGTTAAAAAGAATGAGCTCGCTTCTATAATCCGTCGGCTTGGGCACTCACCTGGGAGATGATTAAGAAGGTGAAAATCTAAACACTATTAGGAAGAAAAAAATTGAAAAGGAGCACTGAGGTGTCACAGATATCTTTTTCTATTGCTCTTTACAGGAACATTTTTGCCAGAGTTTGAATCCCCACTGAAAGAGCTCACTGTAGCTAATCCTCTGAGAGTGGCTCTGTTTTCTAAGTGGGAAATGGATATAGGATAAACAGACAATCTGCTGTTGGCACACAGCCCTCTCTGCCACGGTGTAATAAAGTCTTATCATCTGCAGTGAGGTTCTTCAATGGCAAAGCTCCTTCTGAAGCTGAAGGAGAACTGAGCACCATAACTGGAAATCCGATAATGGCACCTATAAATAAAGGATTTCTATTTGCACAGTTAACAGCAAATGAAATTATATTTAGTCATTCAATAAATTATTTAAAAAAACATAGTTCAAACGTTGAGCTTTTTTGGGGAGAAGGCTTCTAGAAATGTTCATGCTTGGTAAAACTTTTGGAACTTAAAGTAAAGCATGCTTTTACTGTGGAATATTAAAGATCAGCTAATTAAAAACAATAGGTGAACTGAGGACACCATGACTCTGACTCAATATAAATGGACCTTTCATGAGAAATTCTGAAGGAGGCACTAAGGTGAAGAGCTGAATATCACTGAAAGAATAGCATCCATCAATGATATTTTTAAATCATTTTCAGCTGTTCAGTGTTATCCTGTTAAATTTCTTGTTAAAAGACATGCAGCTTTTTAGAGAACAAGTGGGTTTATTGTTTCTCTTTGATTACTGCCTCTCCATTTTAAGAAATCTTACAAAAAAGATTTGATTAGAAATATTTCAATGATTTTTTTTTTTTTTTTACAATACAGAGGAGTGGTTAGCTGGTTTGATGCCTGCTCTGTTCTTCTGGCACCCCACTTTACCGAATGTATAAAACCCAGACTGAAAGGTGATTATTCTGTTGTCGTAGTCAAACTTAAGCCCAATGCAAAAAGTGAAATAAGAAGATCAACAGGGAGAACTGCAATTTAAGTTCTGTTTGGCTGCAGCTGAGTCATATTTGGCACCAATGAGCTGGTTGTTTCCACGTGCTACTTAAGGTAACCTCGTGGTATCTCCTAATTCCCTCTTGTGGGGCATATAGCACCAGTGGAGAGATTGTGCTTTTCTTCCTCCTGTCTCTGATGCTCTTTTCTCTCTGTGCTTCTTCTAGGAAATGTCGTGGTTGATCTGTCCCACGCGGAGCCTTTTACCTGCCTATTTGCTCATGTATACCCGGTTGATTGATATAGTTTCCACTAAAATTGTTGGGAAGTAGGAGCGCTCACCGCAAATGACTGAGATTGTTCTTAGTAGAAATAGCAACACCATAGTCTGAAAGAGAATCCACTAGATTGTGGAAAGGCTTTGAGGAAAATTAGAGGTGAACCTGATAGGACCAGCAGCATTACCTCCTTGCTTTTCCTCTGAAGATGAATATTGATTTTAAATATGCTCTAGGTTCTAACAGTCTGTTAGCCACACATCTAAGGATTTTTTTCTTGAGGTCAGGCTATAGTTCTCAGAGTAGCACCATTATTTCCTTATTCAGAAGAAAAGAAGAAAGCTGATTCTTTGAACTTCCGGATTAGTCAGAGCAGACAGTGTTGACAAGATGTAATTGCTGCTTCAATTGAGAGGAAAGGTAATGCTTCTTGTTTTGAAGTTCTTTAAGAAACTCTCCTGTGATCTAAAGCCAGTCATCTTAGACAAGCAATTTGCTCCTGAGTGATAAGAACCTTTCATAAACTTCACATTGGTTTACCAAAAAAAAAAAAAAAAAAAAAAAAAAAAACCCCACTGAAATCAGCAAGCCACTCCTTAATCTCTTCTTAGTTATATAATGTAGGCTTGTGAAAGGTGGACAAACCACTCTCCTTCTTTATCTCAAGCAAAAACAAAAGTGCTGACCTAGCTAAGGCAAAACCCATTATTTTCACTGATAACCCATATTAAACCACGAAATCTGGAATAAAATGACCTAAGATGGCCATCAGTTCATGCCATAATATAGAAAGACCATTTCATTTTATTAAGCCAATTATCTCTGACTTGTATTTTTATTCTACTAAATGGATGATCCCTTTCTGCTAACCTACCATCAGAATTTGACTTCAGATAATGAGTTGCTTCCATGGACTTCAATAGGCCTTGTGCATGTGAAAGTGGAATTGGGCCATCGTTTGCCTGGACAGTACCTTGGTGGACAAGATAACATGGCTTTAGTTACAGGTTACATGAAACTTATATATTTTTGCCTTTTAATCTTGGTGAGCATATCTTTGTTGTATTGTGAAGCACACTAGATAGGAACCAATTTGATTTTATCAAAATTTTCATTACAGATGTCCCAGATGTGTCCCCTTTTACATCTCTGCATTCTAGACTAAATTTAATCCCCATCTTTTAAATCCCTTTTAATAGCTAGCCCTCCCCTCTGTGCCTCATTTAGGTTTTCTTCATTTCAGGTGCCCCATTAACAGATATAATGGTGTCATACTTTTCCCTGTCATGTCTCTCTAATATATCCTAGCATCCTTTTTATTTCTTTCTACTTTGTTTTTTTTTTTTTTTTTCAAATTCAAATTTCTCTTGGTACTGAATTGGTGTTTCCGCTGAACACTCCCCGGTTTCTCATAGACTCTGATTTTTCTTGTTTAGTGACAGCTAATTCAGAACCCATTACCAGGCCAGATTCAGCTGGTTCTTGCACTGCATGAAATTAAAAAATCCTGTTGAAGTCAGTTGAGTAAATTTGAAGTTTATTCTGGTATAAATGAGATAAAATCCTGACCTAGTGTGATCAGGGAGCTTATTGTGTCCCCACCAAAAGGCAGATCTGATTGTCCAGTTTATTTTTTTTTAAGATTTACTTATTATGATTTAACTGAATAATAGGATAAGGTTTTTCCCTGAGTCATGTATATATTACGACAACAAATATACCTACATTTATAAATTGTAAAATATATGACATATAATGTTTGTAAAATATAAAATGTAAAATGCTTGTGTAGCACTTGGTGCGATGGACTTTTGCCCTGAGACATCTGAGCACTCATCAATCTATTAGTTACAATTGAAGTGAATTATGTGGCCAGAGCCTTCACATTTTGTGACGCTGAACGCTTCAATAATATTATGAGTAATTAGACACGTAAGGAATGAAAAAATCATGCCCATAATTTAACTGAAAAATAAGAATCATTTGTTTTAATGTGCTGTAACACCTGCTAATCTTCCTTGAACTTCGTCTGCTGTCATAAAGTTCAGTCAGGTTCTCTTTGACTCTTTTTGAGGCCTATTGGCATCAGTGGTTTGGATGATGTGAAATATTTTGAAATTATTTGTGTGATCTTGTATAAGTATGCCTTTGAAATTTGTTTTTATAATAATTTGTAACTATTTTATCCATATTTTACCTCATGGAAACAAAGCCCGGTTTTATCCTGTCAAGACAACTTAGACACAAATAAATTTTCATATTTTAATGTTGTATTTAGAATATTTTAAAATATTTTACTGGTTGATGGTTACAGTTCTTTAAGAGCAATGCAGTTTCTCTCCTGAAAGCTATCAGATTAGTGCAATAACATCCCTGTCTTACCTTATTGTCTCTCTGATTAGTTTATTTCATGATGGCCTTGTCCAAACTAGCAGACATCTTAAAGTTGGTGTGCATGCAAAATATTGTACAAAAAGGCTTAAGTATAAATGACAGTAAATCAAAACACCATTAGGAAAAAAAAAAAAAAAGGAAAACAAAGGATTGTGCTTCGGATCTCACTATAAAAAATCTAGGCATGCACTAGCTAATTCTCAGTAATAACATCTGATTTTATTTTGTCTTTAAAGGTAAAACTGGCCACACAGAGGCTGTACGAGTGGTATATCAGCCAGAAAACATCAGCTTTGAGGAACTGCTCAAGGTCTTCTGGGAGAATCATGACCCGACACAAGGTAGAGTGATGAGTGAGCCAGTATTTAATTATCTTACTAATTACAGCTGGGATAATTAGTGTTTGAGCTGCATGGAAGAGATGAACCTTGAAATCACACTGGAGCTCAAGAATATGATTGCAGACATTTATTGACAGAGAAAGAGAGGAAGAGGGAGAATGAGAGTACAGAAACTCACAATACCCCTCCTCCTTTACAGCTGTCTGTGCTGGGAAAATTCCCACAGAGAGGCTCTGTAGACAATAGAAATTTTTTTTCAACTTTGATTATGACAATTTCTTCTGTAATGCTATCTTTTGTCTCTTAAATTAAAGCGTATTTCTTTGCAGCTTCAGAGCTGGTCATTTTATGTGTGCCGAGGACCTTTATCCTTCATAAAAATGTTTGTTTATTTTTTTTTCTTTTTTATATTTATCAAAGACAATGAATATCTTTTATGATTAGGAAAAGGGATTAAAAAGAAGGTAAGAGATGGTGTGTAGAGGCACCAGCAGAGCATTGTAGCTATTTGCCTTATTCAAACCTTTTGATTTAATTTATCTTTCTTGGAAGAGGCTTTGTGATGACATTACACACATCTGTGCAAACATAAATGGGAAACTGTGTTGAGAAAACATTTTACATGTTTATATAGTTTCAATAAACATCATCCTTTCTACCATTTCCCAGAAATACTACACACAGTAACTCATTTCAATATTTTAACAGCTATCATAATTATGCCACTTGTTACTACATCTGGGAACAAAAAAATGCAGATGATACCTTCAAAATGTGATACCATCCTGGGAAACAGTAACTCTGAGAAGGATCCAGGGGCTATTGTGGATAAATGTCTTCCAGTAAGCCCAGACCATAATGCGAAAATGGCTGTTGCAACTCCTGCCTATATGAAAAGGGAAGCCTTAGTCAGGGGCATGAAAGCTATTTTCTGTATGCAGAGTCAATAAAATCTCCCAACATTTAGTGCAGTTTCTGTGTGACATACTAGGAATTACACAGAGATATTTCTGGGGGTTCAAAGGAGGGACAGAAAAAGAATATAGAGCCTAGAAAACTGGCCTGGTGCTGTGAATAACGCGCTCAACTAGTCGAAGAGACATAACATTATGATCAAGTAACATTTACAGGTGCTTACGAAAGGAGCAGACACCTCTTAGGGAGGCTGACAACCCAACCACTGGTAAGCCATAAGAAGTTCCAGTAGCTGGAAGCTGAAGTTTGAAAAGTTCCACCTTGGAATAAAATAGTTTCACATCGCTCAGTGTAATTAAATGTCGGAGTCTTTTTCCATCACCATCCTTTCAAGTCTTTAGGATGAGATAATTTATCATTTTAAAAGAGGCTCTTGATTCGAGTCATGAGAAGAAAGTCTATGTCTGTGTGTCAAATATGGTAGCCTATACTGTTGATTTATGAGCCTCCTTTTCAGCTCTTCCTTTATAGTTGTGTTCAGAGTAATTTGTCTGCACCATCCTTGAAATGCTTGCAGCTCTGCATTGAGACAACGACCATCTTCAAATGATGCTTCAAGGGCCTTCGTGGTTTGCTCACAGGGCTCAGGAAGGAAGTTTTCTCCCTGTCCTACTAGCAGTTGGTTTTAAATCTTTTTTGTCCTTTTTTCTTTGGATTGTCAGAGACTGGCCATCACCAGAGGCTGACTTCTTTGTATTGGGCTGGTTGTTATGATATAACAGCGAATCCTATTTCAGGGTAATTGGCTCATGTGTCTTGCTCACATGTTGGGATTCATCCTCACTGCCAGACCTGGGAACTGATGAGCAGGACTGTAGGATTCTTAACCTCCCAGAGCAGTATGATGAGTGGATTTCTGCTGAAATAATCTGGGCAACTACCATTAATCAGTCATCTGCCATGTCTGTAGACTCGGCTTTGACAGCACATGGTTGGGCTCTGCCTGTGACACACATGCAATAGGTCAGTCTCTAAAGGACTTCAGTGCTTTAGGCTGACTGAAGTTCATCTGCTGGACACAGTGGTATGTGGATGAAGTGTCGCAGTTGTGATAACAGGTCAGATCAGATGAATTTATGATTCCTTCTGGCTTTAAAACAAAGTAAAATGAGGACATTCTGGATTTATATTCACCTTGCATTCTCACAGAACTGAGGTTCGAAATAGTTCCAGTCTGTGCATCCAGAAGAAGGTTGGATGCTGGCAGATGTATGATTCACTCTGATTTCTGGCAACTGGGGAAACATCACCTAATTAGCCCGGGCACAGAGCCACACTAATGTGGCTGTATTCCTTCTGGGATGTGAGCTAATATCTCCACATGACACTGAGCTGTGTAGATACCCAAGTCATTCACAACTGTCTCAGGCATCTATGTGGCACTGCAGTGCTTGATGTAAACATACCTAAGCCTTCATCTAAGCTTGCCTCAGTAGAAATTCCAAATGGTTCTTCTACAATAATTTGCCAAAAGTGATAGCATCACTTTATCCACAGAGAAGATGCCAGTCTTCTCTGAAGACTTTGCATACCCAGACTTGGACAGGTTGCTTTACTTATGTATTTTAATGGTTGCCTAATGCTAATCTCTGTTGAAGAACTTTGCATCACTACCACCCTTCTTGATTTGAGGAAAACCTAAGATGCAAGGTCCCAATTTCAAGTTTCTTTGTTTTGTAAGATAGGGGTGGTATGCTTGTATACCCTTTCAAATTTGAGCAGTTAGCAGTAGAAGATCTCTAAGGTGGAATTGTTTCTTTGCCTTGATTTGTATCTACTCGCTGCTTTTAACTTGCTATGGAAAATAAGGTTTTATGTAAAGATACTGAAAGTGAGAGTTATTTATCTCTCTGACCTATGATATTTTTCTCCTTTCCTGAGGTTCAGCTGTGTGCACCCAGTAAGTCTTATTTAGCCAGCCTTACGGGAATGCAGGAGTCAGTTTGTCAAAGAGAAGTTTTTTACTAAGCAGATAAATTAGGAAAATTTCTTATTCATGAAATTCAGCACACTCTTTGGATGAATCCAGTGTCTCATATAGCCAGTAAGGGCTGGATTTACTGAGTATAGCACTTACTCAAAAGTATAAAAGCTTTATCTGTGACACTGTCTTACCTTTTCTGCAGAAGTTGGGAGAAAAGCCATTTAAGCCCTCCTACCCCCAGCAGAGATAATGGACTCATCTAATTGTTATAATGTCATTAAACATCAAATATGTACATTCTATTGCAGTTAAAGACCTTTCCAATATCAGTCTAGATGGTACCAACTTGCTAAAGAGTACCGACTGGCAGTCCTATCATTCATTATTATATGAGTGTATTAATATTCAGAAGTTGTTGCTTTCTAAACAATTGGACCTCCTGCCTTCTAAATGAGACTGACATCTCACTGGGATTTGAATTTTCTCTGGGAGGCAGCCTGGCTCTTGTTTTGTGAAGCTCTTGAGTCTGAGTATTAAACAGAAGTCTATTGAAAAGCAAGAACCTTTGATCAAGTCAAACAGTCTATGAGTTGAAAGAGATTCTCCCAGATGAGCATCTCCTAAGTGTGGGGCCCTGATAAAGTCCTCCTTGACTATTAATTTAGTATCTATTTTATAATTCATTACATTTGGGATACTGAAAAAGCAACAAACAAACCCCCAACTTCTGCCAAGTGACATACGGTTGTCATCTCTGTTCAGCCTCTAATGCACAGACCAGCATTCCTTCTCTCCTAGGAGTGATCTTATCTATAAGAGCATTGCTCTGTATAGCTCTGTAAGCGCTTGAGGTGGTTGCTTCTTTGTCACTGATACAGAAGAAGAGAATTAATGTGATATGCTGAAAACATGGCAAAAGAATCTTATGGCTATGCACTTTGTACATAATTTTATTTTTCTAAAGTTCATAGAGCTGTAGAACAGATGCTGTATTGCCCTGTTTTTGCACTAAGAGGCCGTTCTCAGAGCCTTCCAGATTTTTTAAGATATAAGCCTGACCATCTCCTTCAGATTGCACCCTGACAGGGGTTCTGCTGGCACCTCCATGCTGTGTGTCTAGAGGGATGTGGACTTTCAGACCGTGAGTTTGTCTGTGTTGTGCCTCAGCCTGTAGTTTCACAACTGCCGTAAGCTAATCTTTGACTTAACTGTTAGGGAAAAGGGCAATTTTCTTCTCTCTCCCTGACCTGTCTGCAGGATACAACCTCTTTCATTGTGTTGACACTGGCAATCATAAAGTTCTCTGATCAAGCTGAAAATTAACCCTGCATGAATTGAAGTGAAATGTAATTCTCAGTCAGGACTTAAATTACCAGGAGCATGACTCCTAGTGGGATCACCCTTCTGGCATCAGCACTGTCCTATAGTGTGTGAGCCAGTTGTGAAACCCGACTGTGTTTATGTTCAGGGAAGAAGATGTCATATTTTATCTGATCAGAAAGTTTGGCCACCCTTTGTGGGGTGTCAGAAACTATTTCTTCAAACCTTTGGTAAAATCTATCTGATACCAGAGGACTCTCTTTGTCATGGTGGAAATGTGATTCCTGTAAAGCATATTACTGTTCATAATTATCTTGACGCTGTGTGTGGTTGAAGTCCTGCATGTGTCAGAGATTTCAGCCCAGTTCAAGGCAACTTTAGAGAAAGACTGCTTGTTACTTTCAGCAGTGGTACAGAAGACAAGCAGAAAGCAAAACAACTATTACTTATTTGTCTTTAAAACATGTTTGGGGCAAATGAAAAATCCACTTGCCTCTTTAGCTCTTTTTTCTCTCGAATACAACCCAGAATGGATGTGTGTTTTGGTAGTTCTGCTCCCCATGTTTGTCAAGAGTACCTAATCCTTCCCAGCCCACAAGAAATAACAGGTACAACTACAGTTCTCTGGAGTGAGCCACAATTGTACCCAAATCCCGTCCTTTTTCATTCCTCCTGGCTTTCTGTTTGGGTTTTTGAATTAGTGGAAGGAGCTGAGAGGAAGCCAGGACTCCATAGTTTTGGTCACCCTCTGTCATTGGGGTGAAGGGCAAAAGGCACCCAT